TAATAATATGCAAATATTTCTACACTGTTCCCATTAACACCTAATCCTCCAAAAATCTTTGGTTTTGCGTAATCTGTAGCTTAAGCTCGCTGATACTCACACTTTTAATAACACTGATGAATCTTTACAATTGAAAAATATTCTTATGATGTAAATGATATTCCAAGGGGATTCACATTTTTTACTATGCTTAACTGTAAATCCGAAAGAACAAAAATTCGGATAATGGCCACAAATGTGAAGTCAGTCAGTTATTGTATACGGGTCAGAAAGTTGCACTGCGTGTCAGTCATGAGAAGGATTTCCATCAAGCTACTTCAGACTTTTATCAACAGCTGCCTCCTGCCCTGGCTCCGTACTGAAGAACAAATGGTCAGCTGACCAGAGAGAATAAACAACAAGAAAGTCTGACCGGTAACAAGCAAACCAGGGACTGTCGCTCAACAAATATGTAGGAGCAAATGGAGATGGATTGATCAGACATACGTTGAGGAGAACATCGAATGCCATTGCGCTCAATGCAGGCCATCGCTTGAATGGAAGCCGACGATTGGGTGGTCGTTGCGAGGGTGATATGGAGGAAATCGTGTGCTGGGAGGAGATGAGAGAGTAAGGATAATTGTGGACCCAATTGGAGAGGACGGGAGAAAATAGAACAACGTGGAAATGTGTTGTTGAAGCCCTCGATTCTCCACTTGGAACCCAAGGGAATAATAATAACATATACACATGACTGCACATGATTACGATGGTATAGCTAACTGAAGGAAACGTGACCGAAAAGTTTCCCTTCACTAAATTGTTCACTCTTATTTCCATGTCTGATCACTGTTCGCATTTCGAGAATTCTAACACAGTATCACCGATCAAACAAAGCATATATCTTGGTCTATGAGAGAATCAGTTAAATGATCAGGTTTCTTATGTTTTTTTAGGAAATCTACTAACATGGAAATCACTACTTCACTACGACAATTACAACTTTTCCTTTATAACAACCCTTCTAACACTGTTCAATGCACTCATATTTTAAGGCTTTTAACTAATTTCAATATGGATTTTGTCATGAAACACCGACATATCAATTATAGAACCACTGAAAACCATCAGGTAGCACTGGAAAGCCAATCCGTCCTAATTTAGAACTCTTGAAAGGCGTGCACACATTACCCCAAGGCCTTCAGGTTGTAAGACACACCCGCTGACCATCCTCGTAGGTGTGCAGTGCTGCAGAGCCACAAAACTAGAGCGAAATAGCCAACCAGTTCTCCTTGGTTTTCAATGACCGCCTAACTGATATTGGTCCTTCACGAAATCTACTAGTCAAATAAGCTGGAAGTACGATTTTCCTACATAAAAGAATCAATTGAAGCATGTGTAATGATTTCATAATGAGTCTAGCGCAGTTGCAACGTATGTTGAAACAATTTATTCGTGCATGAAGTTTACACTAAGCTGTTCTAAGTGATATCTAAAGGGCTGAGCTCACTCATAACTTCTTATTTGGTGGGTGCTGACTAGCAGTGGAGTCAAGGAGTGTCCTATTTGGGACTCATCAGCTGGATATGCCTGAAATCCCCGGTGAGTGACGACGGCTCACAAACCCAGCACCCACCGTCTCAAACGCCAAAGCTTTATCCACCACACCACCTGGGTATGAATCACTTTAACCACACACACACACACACACAACAGTTGGTGAAGCCAGCGAAAAAAATTAGCTTAATCTGCAGTAACGACCACTATTCAACCAATAATATCAGTCTTAAATTCATTATTATTACTATTGTTCCCTTGGGTTCCTTGTGGAACATAGGGCTTCAAATGCACGTCTCCAATTGCTTCTGTCTTCTGCTGTACTTTTCACCTGCATCCAAGTTATTCCATACTGTTTCAACTCCTCTTCACATGATTTCCTCCATGTCACCCTTGCACTGACGTCCCACTCGCCGCTTCCCTTTCGAGTTCCACTCGAGCACTGGCCTGACGCGCGATGTCACCCAGCGGCCTCCTCAGAGAGTGTCCAATCCATCTCCACTTTCTCCTGCATATCTGTTGAGCTATTGGTTCTTGTTTTGTTTGTTCACATAGTTTCTTGTTGGTGATTCTTTCCGGCCATCTGATCTTCAGTATAGAGCGAAGAGAGTTGTTGATAAAGGTCTGCAACAGGCTGTTGGAAATATTCTTTGTGACACACTAGCCAAGTTTCTGGTCCATATAAAAGAACTGACTTAATGTTTGTATTGAACATCCGAATTTTGTTGTTGATGCTGAGTGACGAAGATTTCCAGATTGGTTTCACGTTGATGGATGTGTTTCTCGCCTTCCCGAATCTCGATTTGACATCCTCGTCCGTTCCTCCTGTAGTTGAGACAACTACTTCAATCTGTCTTAGAATTATTGGTACTCCATAAACACATTGTTATGCGCCAGTGATTCGGTGGCAGAATGCTTGTCAACCACAAAGAGTGAGGTAAAAAAAAGTACAATGAGCAAAAGTGTGAGGGTGAAAAAATAGTGGCATTCAAAAAAAGAATGACAATTTAGGGGATATTGATAATCAGAAAGAGTTATTACATCTGCACCACTGAGAACGATTTTGAGTCATATTATAAATAGCGGAAGGTAAGACAAGGAAGCAAAGGTATATTTCCCATTGATCAAACCACTGTTTATATATACACAGTCTATTTTCTTTAACCAAACACTGAGTGTGCGATCTCGGATGACATCAAACGACATGAAATAGAATGTTCAAATATACACATAGTGCTCTGTTGTTAATACATTTACAACAGTGGGAAAAGTGTTCTGTCTCTAACATCGAATAGAATTTTCAAATAGATATATATTATATTCTGTTGCTAATGCCGAATTGAACTGTGGGAATATGTGAGAATAATATTCTGTTGGCACACATTGTCTGTATTACACCACTACAATATCACCATTGGTTTCCAGCCAGTGATGCTTAGCATTCTAAGGACTCCAACTAAGCAGCCTACACACTCCTGACTGGCTAAAACTAACCATTAACGATTTCATGGATTAATGTCAAATTTTGAGATGACCACCTCTAACTTTTCCTTAACCCAAACCTGCGTTAGCTAACATTGCTTATCAATGAATACGGTAGCTGAGAATGATCAACGTGTGGCCTACTCCTTTCACTCGACTTATCTTCACAACCACATCAGTTGACTTACCATCCATACTTAACACTGCACGCCTAACCTGAATGTTACTCACCATATATTCTACAACCTAACATGCAAGCAAAAATAGCTGTGTCCATGCATATCTTTCACTCTCAACAGCCATGTCTCTCACAGGCATAAAGGAAGACAAAATGAACTGTTGTGCAGTACACACATTCCATGGTCGGTAGACAGATATCACTTCTACGCCAGAGATGACGTTAATTGGCAAATCCCACACGAGCCTTTTGTATCTGTACTGAGAATTCGCCACCAATCAATCAGTCAATGCATTTGGCCTGAAGCAACTTCAATTATATATAAGAAGCAGTAAACACACTTCACCACTTCACTCCCTATCTTCAAGCTACGGATCAGTCCTGTAGCATACCAAACATTCGGAGATTTCTGCCCAAAATGAGTTCAGAAGACTGAATTTTATCAGCGTCTTCAACTACAACGATAATAATATCATCCGTATACTCTGCGCCGACAAATCAATCCCCATAGCGCTAAAGTTAGTTGGGGTCAATTCCATTAATACACCTATGGTGAAGTAATTTGGAAACTACTTCAACACTACGGTGTGCAGTGCTCAAGTCTTTATCAACCTCATTCAACAGCTAAACGACAACACCTCGGGTCAAGTGATCCACAACGGGAAACTCAGTGAGGCGTTCGAAGGGAACACAGGAGTAAGACAAGGTTGCCTATCTATTATCACCGATGATATTCTTAATTGTGGTGGACTGGATTATGCCTCAGACTGTGCGTTGGGAGCGAGGAGACAGGAGTACGCCAGACCACTGATGAAAAGACTCTAGAAGATGTGGATTTCGCAAATAATATATGTCTAATGTAACATAAACTCGAGGACTTACAGGCGAAAACCAACAAGCTGGCTGAAGAAGCAGAGAAGACAGGACTCCAAGTGAACATAGGCAAGACGCAGGTAATGAAGATAACCAATCAACAGAAACAACAACCCGCACCAATAACCATCACAGGGAGAGGTTGCTTCACTTCCTTCCTTCACTTATCTAAGCAGCTGGCACGGTTTCTACCACAGGCTGGCAGAACGGATGAAGATGTCAAAGCCAGAATCGGAAAGGCAAGACACACCTCCATCAACCTGAAACCAATTTGGAAATCTTCTGCTGTCACTCACTCAGTCAGCATAAACAACAAGATTCGGATTTTCAACACCAATGTCAAGTCAGTCCGTCTATACGCGTCAGAAACTTGCAGTGTGCGTGTCACGAAAAGGATTTCCAACAGCTAGTGGCAGATTTTCATCAAAAGCTGCCTTTGATGGCTCCCTACTGAAGATAAATTGGCTGGCCAGAAAGAATAAGTAACAAGAAACTGTGGGAACAAAACAACAGGCGACAGCCGATCGCTCAACAAATATGTAGGAGAAAGTGGAGATGGAACGGGCGTACATTGAGGAGACCGTCCAATGACATCGAGCGCCAGAATACTGTTCGAGTGTAATTCAAATGGAAGGCGACGAGTGGATGGTCGGTGCGAGGATGACATGGAGGAGATCGTGTTTTGGGAGGAGGAGATGAGAGATTGTGGGCAATTGTGGTCCAATCTGAAGAGGACGGCAGAAGATAGGAAAAAGTGGAGATGTGTTGTTGAAGCCCTATGTTCCACTCGAAACTAAGGGAATAATAATTAATGGAAAATATGGACATTTCCTAACAAGAAACGAAGACACCAGACCCAGCCCCCTAAATGCATCAATCTCAGACCAATTGAACAAAAATCAAGACAACAACATGAAAAAAGAAACAAGTCGCAAAAGAAAGAAACAAATACTTACATTTACAATAGAAAAAATATTATGAACACATTTCAAGAAAGAAATAAGAGATGAAAAGAAATCCCTGTCGTTTTTATCTACAATTATTTTACAAGAACAAGTGAAACAGCAAAAACAAAAGAGAACATATTACATTTTAAAATGTAACAAAGGAAATTCACAGTTGTTATAGACATTGAGGCGTGCAGATACACACGCATACACAAACCAACCAACAAACAAACACACAAGTCAATAAATTATTTTTCAACATTATTCGAATCGTTTAAATTTGTCACATCAGAGATCGATACTTCAGAATCATGTTTTACAGTAACTTTATCCCCTTCACTGATTTCAACAGGATTATGCGGAGTGGATTCTTCTGTTTTCTCTTGAGAATTGGGAATTTTATCATTACACGGTACTTCTTTTTCAGGAGCGATAGCATTACTAACAGTAGCAATAGTAGTAGTGGTATTAGTAGTAGTAATAGTGGGATAGGTGACTGGATGCGACTCATTTTCAGGTCGTGGTGTCGATGGAGCAGTTGGCAAAGAGGCTGATATCTCTGAAGGTGCTGCAGTAAAACTACTCGGATTTTGAATATACGATGAAATTGGAGTTGGTAAACTTGGTATTATAGGTTTTTTCTTCGGTGGTCGACCTCTACGACGTTTAGGGACTTCTATATTACCACTAGTATTACCTCCTCCTACCCCTCCACCTCCTGCTGCTGCTGTTGAGAGGAGAATGTTGTGTGAAGCAGCAGGAGTAAGCAGCCTTACAGGCGCATCTTTTTTAATATCATACATTGGTTTCGGTCGGGGAAAATTGCTAATACTCTTCACTTTTGGTTTACACGGCTTTCTTACACTATATCCCCAGGGTAAATCATCCATATCCTTAGGAGCATATTTCCTTGGTCGACCTTTCTTTGCTGGTGTTGGCAAGGCTTCACACAGTAGACATTCCCATTTTCCATTAGGTATTCGACCAAGACCAACACAAAAGGCATGATAACCACGATCACAACGATCACAGAACATCATTTGATCCTCTTGACCAGAATCATTACACTCTACACAACGCTTGCATTCTAAGCAGGTCCAAGCGTAACTAGAAAGCAAATAAACAAAAAAATACATTTAACAAGAATTATGGAATGTTAACTAAATAGTAAGGCCTAATGACAACAGAAGAAACGTTTTAAAAGTGATCACACTAGCTCACTGAAGAAATTATGCTCCCCCCCAGTATAAATGGAAATAATGACCTTTGACCATTCCTTTACGTTCCCAGTGGAGCATAGGACTTCGAACTTGAGCTTTGAAGCTTCAGTAGTGGTTAGTCTCACGCCCAACTAACCCCTCTTTACCGGGAGCTAGACGAGATTTAGAAGTGTGTCTACCAGAGGGGTCGAACCCCGGACCCCACTGAATCACTCTTCAAAAATACAGTATATGTTTCATTTTGCTTATGTACTTAAGTACTCAAAAGTACTTCTTTGCTCCCAATCCATTCATCTTAGAAATTTTGTGGAAAGTGAATTATTTTCACGAAATAGTTTTCGTCTCCAAATGGTCGTCAGTCAGTCAGTCAGGCAACAAATATTAACTTAAAGGCATTGGACGGCTACTTCATCTTAGTCTGCACCATACACTGATGACTCATTGACCTCGGCTCTCCTTCATCAATGGGTCCTTAAGGTTTAAACTCCACTTTATCGACTTCAGTCTAGGCAACTAGAAAGTTAACTTTCTTTGACAAATGATGTTTATTTAATTCAATTTTTAGATTTTCCCGTTGATTGATTGGACAAAAGTGCTCGGTGTCAGGTTGACATGTCGGCTCCTTGTGCAGATGCTTCGACGATGTCTGGTCATGTAACTTGAAGTCAATCGGTTGATGGTGACTAGCAATGGAATCTAGGACAATGCGCATTTCGTCCTATTTTGGACTCATCAACTGCATGTACCTGCATTCCCGAGTGAGTGATGACGTTCAATCGACGGGAAAAACTGAAAATTGAATTAACTGATTAATAAGACCCGTTTCACAAGAGGTGGCTCTCACGGCTCAAGTAGTCTAGTGGATAACGCTTTGGCGTTAGAAACTATGGGCACTGGGTTCGAGCATCGGCGGGAACATCGTCACTCACTGGGGAATGCAGGTACATCCAGTTAACGAGTCCCAAATAGGGCGAAATGCGTGTTGTCCCGGATTCCACTGCTGGTCACCATCCACCAATTGACTTCGAATGATGTTTATATTCTGTCTCCCGTGTTATGTGGTGTAAAATGGTGAGTAATATTGAGGCTAGGTGTAGAGTGTTAGGTGAGGAAGGGAAGTTAATCGATGAGGTTATGAAGTTGCATCGATTAAGACTGGTAGTCCACATATTGCGCCTGCCAAGGCACCAATCATCTTTTCTGAACAAGCAATGTTAGCTGACACATGATGAGGTTAGAAAACCGTTAAGGGTGGTCAAATCAAGACCGGCATCAATTCATGAAGTCTTCGACATTTGGTTTGAGCCAATCACGCAGGGAAGTGTAGACTACCTAGTTGGGGTCCACAGGATGCTAAAAACCAGTAGTTAGAGATTATTGATGCTATGGCTGGAAATCCTAGTCAGTGGCACAGATGCATTCCACTCTTTGTAATCTCCTAGATGCTATAAATCCTTATGTTTTCAATGTTACTACCCTTTCTCGCGTACATTTCTGCTCATTAATATAATTCTTTTCCAACCTTTTGCGCTATTTGGAGTGTATCAACTTGAATTGGTGCACTTCTGTGCACAATTATGTGCTGGAACCCAGTCAGTCAGTCATAAATAAATTAATTAAATGTCAAGGATTTCATGGAGTGACGCCATGTTTCAGTTTGACCACCCCTAACCCCGTTCTATACCCAAGCCTATGTTGAATAAAATCACCAGTCGAGTAATTCGATGGCTCAGAATGCGTAACACGTAGCCTAACCATCTCACTCAATCGATATAGCTTCACAACTTCATCGACGGATTTCTCCTCCTTATCTAACACTCTTCGCCTAACCTAAATATTATTCACAAAATCATACAACCACTCAACATGGGAGACAGAATGCGAAAATTTGTGGTTGAAGACAATTAACCTTTTCATATCTCCCAGTTGCAATGGTCATGTCTCACAGCCATATAAAGGAGGATGGAGTGAACACTGCAGCACTGAATATCGCGTTTATGCCACAAATGAGGTAAACTGGTAAATCCCACACGAGACTTTTGTATCCGTATTGAGATTTTGTCACCAATCAATCAGACAATGCATTAGAGCTGATGCAAGTTCCTAAATAAGTGAAGTGGTCAACATGCTCCACCAACCAGTTCACACCCTATCTTTAAGCTAGGGAGTCAGTGCAGCTCAGTCCTGCAGAATCGTCTTACATTGGTCAGGAGAGAATCACATGCCAAACACTCGGAGTTTCCAGCCCAAGGTGTTCAAAGACTACACTGTATCAGTGTCTTCACCTAGAAGGGTAATAATATCATCCTTATACTCTAAGTAAACGAGACTGTTCTCTGGTAACAAGTCAATCCCTAAGCCTATGAAGTCAATTACAGTCAATTTCGCTAGTACATCTATGATGAAATTACACAGAAATGAGAACACTGGGGCACTCGACACTCTTTTCACAGCCTAACACACTGCCATAGCATCTCCTCTCCGTCGTCAACAGAGCCGAGTACCGTACCGCTTTCAAATCAAGAAATACAACAGCAATAGAATAAAACCGCATCCTGAGAACGCAAATAAAATAGCAACAATGCATAAAGACAAAATTCTTCTCCACCTCTCTCTCTCTCTAACTTACCTTTTCACACCTGGTATCATAGAATCAGGGATATCTAAACATTTTGGATGTCCAATTAATTTACACTCAGAACAACGTATATAATTTAAAGCCAATTGTCCACAAACAACACAACTTGGATTCTCGGTATTCATATCGCCAACATTTGTTTTAAATCGTCGATAAATTGAACTATTCGCCTTATCCACATCTGATTCCGTAGAAAATGTATTTGAACTGAAAAAGAGAACAGGGAGAGGGAGAGAGAAAATGCAAAGCATGTTAGAAAAAAAAGTGAATCAACCTCATAAATGTGCAAGAGAAAATAAAATCTGACATTTTTTTTAAATAATCAGAAATGTAGTGTACAATAATGGGCACCAAGATACTGGGACTCTTTTATATTTCCTGAACGCCCGAAATGAAACAGATGATTATCGTAAGGAATCACCGAGCCAAGTCCCTAACTTGTAGTCTAATTTACTACGAAATAGAAGAAAAACGTTTATCCGTTACTGATTCCACTAGGATCTTGCAGACAAGAAGCACAAACAGTTTAGAACTAGAATTTTCTAACTCTCCTAGGTGAACCCACCACCTCCCCGCGCCCAGACCACTGATCCGGCGGGCACCGACAATCAACACCTGAGGTTATATATGTTTGGTTATATGGGAGTATTCTGAATGGAAAGATTAGAGTCTATCTAATGTCCGTTCAAATTATGATGATGCTACATGCCAAGTGATTCACAACGGAAAGTTCAGCGAAGCTTATGAAGTGAAAGACTGGAGTAAGGCAAGGCTTCTTCCTATCATCGACGATCTTCCTCAGTGTGGTAGACTGGATTATGCAGCAGATTGTGGAGAGGGCGAGAAGACGGGCATACGTCAAACCGACAAGAAGACTGTGGAAGATTTAAACATCACAGACGACTTATGTTGTTGTCTAATGTCACACAAAAGCGAAGACTTACAAGCGGAAACCGACAAACTGGTCGAAGAAGCAGTAAAGACAGGACTCCAGGTGAACATAGACAAGACGAAGGTTATGAAAATAACCACACAACAGCAGCAACATCCAGCGCCAATCACCATCAATGGAAGGGATTCCAAAGAGGTTACTTCATTCACTTATCTAGGGAGCATTGTCTCAACTACAGGAGGAACAAACGAGGATGTCAAATCGAGAATCGGGAAGGCGAGAAACACATTCATCAACCTGAAACCAATCTGGAAATCTTCGTCACTCACCATCAACAACAAAATTCGGATTTTCAATACAAACGTTAAGTGAGTCAGTTCTTCTATACGGATCAGAAACTTGGCCAGTGTGTCACCAAGAATATTTCCAACAGGTTGCAGACCTTTATCAACAACTGTCTTCGCTCTATAATGAAGACCAGATGGCCGGAAAGAATCACCAACAAGAAACTATGGGAACAAACAAAGCAAGAACCAATACCTCAACAAATATGCAGGAGAAAGTGGAGATGGATTGGACACTCACTCGCTGAGGAGGCCGCTGGGTGACATCACGCTTCAGGTCCTCCAGTGGAGTCCGAAAGGGAAGCGGCGAGTGGGACGTCCAAGGGTGACATGGAGGATATAGTGTGAAGAGGAGCTGAAACAGTATGGAAACAGTATGGACTAACATGGATGCAAGTGAAAAGTACAGCAGAAGACAGAAGCAAGTGGAGACGCAGTTGAAGCCCTATGTTCCACTAGGAACCCAAGGGAACAATAATAATAATAATATCCAAGAACCATCAACAACAACAAGTATCAGCCATTACCAGAAGGAGAAATCTGAATGAAGTTGCTCCCTCCACTAATCTAGGCAGTATCGTTTCGACTACAGGCAGGTGGTGGTACGGATGAGGTTGTCAAGGCCAGATAACCGGGCATAGGGGAAGCAAGACAGACTCTCATTAATCTGAAATCAGCATGAAAATCTAGTGTACTAACCGTAGAGTACAAGATTCGTATTTTCAACATCAATGTCAAATCAGTGCATCTATATGCTACAGAGATTTGGCGTCTCACCGAAACCATTTCCAATAACCATCTGTATGCAGACGTTTATCAATAGCTGTCTTCACTCCATCCGGAAGCTTAGATGATCAGCCAGATTGAATAAGCAACAAGGAACTCTGGTAACGAACCAAACAAGAACCTATCACCCAACAAATAAGCAGAACAAAACATGAAAGTAGACTGAACATACGCTGTGGAGACGGTTAAGTAACATCACACACCAGGCCAGTGTTTGAGTGGAACCCCAATGAGACGATGCGAGTTGACCAGGCGTCTAAATGCGACATCCAGGAGAGCGTATATGTGGTGGCATCAGTCACTGAAATCTACAACAGTTAGAGCCAGGCAGGAAGTTGTAGACTTTCTGGCTGGGGTCCTCGGTATGGTAAAAACCAATGAGAGCTGGAGACAATCGGTGATATGGCTCAAAATCCTCGTTCTCAATGGCTGGCGCAGACGCATCCAATCCTTGTGACTTATAAGACCCAATTAAACTATATAGTTCTTCGATATTACGATTCTTTTTGCCTTATATCTCTGTTTTCTGTCTCTAGTTTGCATTTCTTTTTACTTTCTTCTCTTACTTTGTGTGCTACATGAAGTGTGGCGACTTGAACTGCTGCACATCGGTGCAAAGTTCTATGTTGAAACCAGCCAGCCAGCCAGACAGTGTATCTGGCGGATATGAAAGTTGGTGAGCAATCGTGCAGGGAGCTAAAGAGGATTGTAGAGGAATGTGCTGCTGAAGCCCTATGTTCCAACTGCTATCCTATGTCCTTGTCTGACAAGATGCAACCATACTTCAGTTAACATGACACGTTCCACGGGTAATAAAGTACTTTTAACACACTTTTACAGTTTATATCGATGAAAAATTGATACAAAAAAGACACTGTCTTCTCCCTCTCTCTCTCACTTACTTAGTATTACCATTGCCTGTAGCCGAAAATGTTCCATCAGTATGATGCACACCTCGGTGCACACCATCTGTTGAATTCATAATATGATTATTACTATTATTATTATTATTATAATTATTATTATCATTATTATAATGATGATTTGAAGGATCCATTAACCGGGAATTATCTCCACCAGTTGAATACTGATCCCCGAAATCTGAATTAGTAGTAGTCATAACAACCGGTGGTGTACTGACTTTAGGTTTAATTGATCCAAATCGAAGTGTTGTAGGCAGCGGAGGTGGATTTTTATGCTTTTGCAATGGATGTGGATATAGTACACGTGAAAGTGGAAGGTAGGATAATTGTTCCGGGGTATAATTCATATAATATTCAGCAAATTGTCCAGGTATAACAGCTACAGGATAAGCACCACCACCACCACCACCACCTTCACCACACCACCAGTAGGAATATTTGTATAATCTAATAGTTTATACTTTCTTTGTGGTATATGAATTTGCATTGTTTGTAAATCCCAATAACACCGCCTGGAATTTAAACGTTCACTTATAAGACGATGGTTATAATCAGCAGCTGAATCTAAAGCCCGTCGACGTGCAGCCTCAGCTCGAGCTTCACCGCGTTCAATACGAGCAGCCTGTGTAATAAATGAAAATAATTTTTAAAAATAAACATAAAAACATACACAAATTGCGAAATGACAGTTAGAATTCATTGACTAATCTGTTCTGTTTCTATGACTGAATGATCAATGATGAGCTCAGTTTGTAACCTGAAGGTCGTGGGGTTTCATCCCTGGTGAAACCTTTCGCTAACTTACACCATCTCTGGTGTAGGCGTGACATCCGACTACCAACCAAGGGACGTGTGTACTGCTCAGCAGTTCGCTCCGTCCTTCTCTATGGCTCTCTGAAACATGGCCAGTACGAGTTGAAGACATGAAAAGGTTGACTGTTTTTGATCATAGTTGTCTACAATCTCTTTCTCACGTTAGGTGGCATAATAAGGTAAGTAATGTTGACGTTAGGCATAGAGTGTTGGGCAAAGAGGGAAAATCAATCGAAGAGGTTATAAAGTTACATAGATTGAGATGGCTAGGTCACGTGCTGCGCATGCCTAACCATCGCCTACCCCGACGGACGGGCATTACTAGTTGATACAGGTGCAGGTTGGAAAAGAGTAAGTGGTGCCATGCCAAACAAAAATATGGCATCAATCCATGAAATCCCTGACAGTTAAACTGAGTCAGGTAGGGAGATGCAGACTTCCGGGTTGGGGCCCACCCTCGGGACTCTAAGAATCAATGACTGGAGACAATAGGTGACATGGCTCAAAATCGTTGTCAATGGCCTATGCAGATGTATTCAGTCTCTGTAATCTTTCATATTCCTTTCTACCATTACTCACTCTGTTTCACTCCTACACTTGTCAAAACTCTATTGATTCTCTTCATCACTCATCTTCCTGTCTACCTTTGTGTGCTATTTGGAAGGTGGCAACTCGAACTGCTGCACTTCGGTGACAAGTTCTACGTTGAATCCAGACAGGAACCATGGGTGTGCACCAACGAAGAGCCCTGAACTGGGACGAAACAGGCGTGTGCAGTACTCCTTGATTTTCAGTGGTTCCCTGGCTCATGTCAGCCTGTGATCGAAGTTCAAATAAAACAAAAACTGTCTGATTTCATACTGAACAGTTGTTTCTCTTAGCAAATAATGATTAGTGCAAACGCCAGAAATATTTAGTTATATATGGACGGTATCTATAATTTGGTTAAAGTTCTCCATAAATGTGTCAGCAGTTCAACAATAGAATGCTGGCCAGACACGACGCGGGAGATTCAGGTTCGTCTAAATTTCGCCTGGCTTGGGATAGTAAGTCCGGAAAAAAGAGAAGGCTGGATGTGAGGCTTGCAACCCCATCCCACTCTGTAAAAACAGACAACATTGCTAGTGAAACACACAAAAGCTTGAAGTCTTCTGTTCCACTCGGAAGACAAAGGAGTGAGAAAGAAAATGAAAAGATCCTATATTTAAGAGGTCAATGTCCTTGTGTGTCAGGGAGAAACAGTCCACTTCGTATACCTTTACGATTGTGAGATATAGCTGTTTAAAGTGGTGCAGGCTAGTTGCCTTTGATCATGGGCGTTTGAGTTCTATTTCTCATGTTAAGTAGTATAATACGGTCAGAAATAATGAGATGAGGCGTAGAGTGTTACCTAAGGAGGGAAAGTTAATCAATGAGGTTGTGCAGTTGCATTTGTGCAGATAGCTAGGATATGTATTACGCATGCTAAAGCACAGCCTTCCTCTTGAAGCAATGTTAGCTTGCATACGGCTGAGTTGGAAAGGAGTTAAGGGCGGTCAAATTTTATTTATTTTATTTTGATTACAGCTTGATGCCACACCGTCTTTTCAGTACAAGTATGGAATTTTCAGCATGGATATCGGTAGCCTAAATTTTACAGGCCGACCATGGATATCGGGTGTGCGTCGGCAGGGGATCGAACGCCGGACCATGTGCATGGTCGGCGAGAGTCCTAACCACTGTGCCACCGACGCACAAGACATAACGTCAATCCATGAAGTCTTTGACTCATGGTTTCAGTCATACAGGGAGGTGTCGGGTGCCCAACTGTGGTACTCATAACTCTAAGAGCCAATGGCTTCAGATTTGGAGATATGACTTAAAATCGTTCTCACTGACCAAGATGGATTCACTCTTTATGAACTCCTATATTCATTAAGTTATCATTAGTCTCTATGTACTAATTCTTTCCCCTGAACATCTCCGTTCATTTTAGTCCCTTTACTTCTTTTATCCTCTACATTTGTGTATGTTTTACTATTATTATAATTCCCTTCGGCTTAGAGTGGAACATCCGGCTTCAAAAACACATCTCCAATTTGCTCTATTTTCTGCTGTCCTCTTCAGCTGAGTCCACGACTGACCATAACCTCTCATCTCTTGCAACTAGCACGATCGCCTACATGTCAACCTCGCACCAACCAACCACTCATCGCTTCCCATTAGGATTCCACTCGAGTGATGGCCTGCGTTGAGCGCGATGGCATTCGACGGTCTTCTCAATGTATGTCCGATCTATGTCCATTTTTTTCCTAAATATCTGTTGAGCAATCGGCTATTTCTTGGTTTGTTCCACTGACGAGTTTCTTGGTGCTAATGTAACAACAGAAGACAATGGTCAGGCAACAGAACGTTTATTAAGGAAAATCAACACATATTTATAAATTTTGATGTACATTATTGTAGGTTAATGCTAGTAGAAAATACAGTCTGTTGATTGGTTGTTTCTCACACAAAGTTAACCTTGCATCTCTTGTGGCTGTGTCAGTTCATCTATATGTTAACTGTATCCGCCTGTCCATCTTGACCTTGTTTTCACATGACTAACATTGACCTCAATTACTGTCAACCAATTTGGCTAGCAACCATCTCTCACCACAACATGACTAATATTTGATACATAAACATTGACCTCAATTACTGTCAACCAATTCGGCTAGCAACCATCTCTCACCAAACCAATTCTTTGTGGCTGGCCGGCCATCTGATCTTCAGTATGAAGCCAGAGAAGGGGTTAGCTGTTGATAAAAGTCTGCAGTAGCCTGTTGGAAATCCTTTTCGTGACTGACAAGCGGTGCAAGTTTCTGACCCGTATAGACAGACTGACCGACTTCACATTGATGTTGAAAATCCGAATCTTGTTGTTTATGCTGACTGAGTGAGTGACAGCAGAAGATTTCCAAACTGGTTTCAAGTTGATGAAGGCGCGTCTTGCCTTTCCGATTCTGACTGGCTGTTTGGCTTCGACATCTTCCTCCATTCCGACGAGCTATGATTGAAACTATGCCTCCTCGTTAGATAATTGAAGGAAGTAACCTCTGTTAAATCTCTCCCTGTGATGGTGATTGATGCTTGTTGTTGTTGGTTGGTTATCTTCATGACTTTCGTCTTCTTTATGTCCACCTGAAGTCCTGTCTTTCTTGCAATGCTTCTTCAGCCAGTTTGTTGGTTTGCCTGCAAGTCTTTTAGTTTGTGTTACATCAAACCTAAATCATCCACATGCGAAATCCACACCTTCTAGAGTCTTCTTATCGGTGGTCCGGGGTAATTTTGTCTCCTCGATCCCAACGCACGGTCTGACGCATAATCCAGTCCACCAGAATTAAGAATATCATCGGTGATAATAAACAGGCAGCCTTGTCTTACTCCTGTATGCACTCCGAACGCCTCTCTGAGTTTCCCGTTGTGGATCGCCTGACACGTGACACTGTCATACAGCTGTTGAATGAGGTTGACAAAGACTTGAGGTACTCCGTATTATTGAAGAAGTTTTCAAATTATATCTTGGTCAACGCTGTCTGTCTAGGGTCTCTTCGAAATCGATTATATATAACGATGACTACAATTCAAAGGTGATATGACAAGCTAAATAGTAATCAACAAATTGAGAACATCAACTCGAAGAACTTTCAACGCAGATAAACTCCAACTCACATTTTTTTCACACGACCACTTGTGATTCCTCAACTGAAAGAGAAAGTATTCAGGCTAACCACCATCTCTCTCAATTGTATCTGTTCAGTTCAACTGCTCTTTTGGAGCTAGTTATGTTGACTGCTGTTCTAGGGACATTTTGTGCTTAGGAACATCAACCGGTGTGGCTAATTAAAGGTGTAGTTAAAGCCACCAACAGTTCTATATTAGGTTATCTCATCCAAACAGGTCGCAGCAAATTTAGCATTGAAATGTCCTTTCCTTTTATTTATCGAATTCCTAATAAACTGCAAAAGGCCTTCAAATACCCGACACTCTAAACCATCAGCAGTCTGCATACGAAAGAAACAGGTCTAGCTTCTGAAGATATTAGATGGTTGGAGGCAATCGGCAGGATGCCCTGCTTGACCTATGTTTCGTGCTAGTTGCCACTCACCAATCAGTCAGCAAGGAATATCTGCAAACATGAAGGAACTCATGCCTCGAACCCGCGTCACCCAGTGCCGTAGTCAGAGTCGTTACCACTGAGCTATTCGGGTTCGCGATTGACCTCCTGTAGGACTGTGTTGGATATTTTTTTGATTGGACACTAGTAACTAGTGTGACTGCAGACTGAATTCTATCAGTCAGGTTTGCAATGTGGGCACCATTCTAGGTAGCTCGCCATCACGGTGCACATTGATTTGATGATATTAGATGGTTGGAGGCAAGGACTAGACACATCACACTAGTTACTAGTGTCCAATCAAAAAAATATCCAATACAGTCCTACAGGAGGTTAATTGTGAGCCAGAATAGCTGGCTTAGTGGTAACGTCTCTGACTGCACCACTGGGTGACGCGGGTTCGAGACATGAGTTCCTTCATGGTTGCAGATACGCCTTGCTAACTGACTGGTGAGTGGCAACTAGCACAAAACTCAGGTCAAGCAAGGCTTCTTGCCAATTACCTCCAACCATCTAGTATCAACAATCCAAAGTGCACCGTGATGGCGAACTACTTAGAATGGTGGCCACATTGCCAAAGAAAGAACTAGACACATCATACGAGTTACTAGTATCCAATCAAGGTCTAGCTTCTATTTGCTGTGGAATCCATAAATTCATAAATTCCCTATTATTATTATTTTTCTCAATTTACCTGATATTCAGTTTAGTTATTTTTACGAGTTGATCACGGATTGATATCAGTTAGAGAACCGTTGAGAACCAGAGAGTACTGGACAGCCAGCTGTTTCATCCTAGTTCGGGAATCATCGGCAGTACGCACCAACCCCCAGGGTTCGAACCCAAGACCTTCCAGTTACAAGGCAAGCTGGCTCGTATACCATTCAGTCACTGGGACCCGATTCAATGGCTCATGAATTCTAACCCTTACAAAAACCAAACTATAGAAAATTAATCTGGTGCTCGCTAGTGACTTGCTACAGAACGGAGTTTCCTGGAGTTCTAGTGAGAAGTCGTGACCAGTGAGGTCCATCCAGTCAAGTGTGAGGATTGATGTTCCACCGATCACATTGGTTGGTGGTCGCGCGAAATCACGAATTGATACAAGTTAGAATTCATGGGCTAGCCATTGAATCGGGTGAATGGTATACGAGCCAGCTTGCCTTGTAACCGGGAGGTCCTGGGTTCGAACCCCAGTGTTATTTAAAACACTCGTGTTGTCAGTAACAACAATTCTGTACAAATGGATGAGGAAGTTATCGAAAAGAATGTTCTCTATTCAACTAGTCAGTCATTTACTGTTGGAATTATTCAGAAGAAGGCAGACAGAGAGGGAGAAAGAGACTTCTCTCACACTCATACACTTCAAATCACAGCAAATGAAAGGAGATACAACTTATTGGTCTAGGAGACGGCGTTGTATTTACAGCCAATGAGTCACGGGGTTCGAACCCCAGTTCCATCACCTACCGAGGCTCGGACAGCTAGGCAGTAGTATTGTGGTGAGAGCTGCCTGCTAGCCAAAGTTGGTAGACAATAATTGACGTCAATGTTTATGTCCCCAATATTGGTGGTGGGAAAATGAGAACAAAGGCTTTACGTAGGCGGATACAGTTAGCATATGGATTATCTGACACAGCCACAAAGAGATGCAAGGTTAACTTTCTGTGAGAAACAACCAATCAGAAGACTGTATTTTCTACTAACGATAATCTATAATAATGTACATGAAAATCTATAAATATGTGTTGATTTTCCTTAATAAACGATCTGTTGCCTGACCATTGTCTTCTGTTATTACAGTATCACTAACCCTTACACACACGATACACGTGTATCTTATAGCCAATTGCTGTATGGAATTCTATAAACTAACTAATGAAGAAAGAAGACTAGACAAAGAATGACGAAAGAGTAAAACTTACTTCATATTGACGTTTTTGATTTTCAATTGTTGTCTTAAACTTTCGTCGACGAAATAGATCAGTCAGGGCAACATGTACTTCTGGATAATCTTGTTGCAGCAACTTCATAACATCATCTGTTTTAAGTGCTGTTAGGCCAAGATCTGCACGACCAACAGGAACAATGCCTTCTTGTTGTAACCATGAACGTTCATAAGCATCCATTGCACGTCTTGATAGATCAGGATATTTACGTTTAAAAGATTTAATCTGATATAGAGATAAAGAAGAGAAAATATATATGCAACCTTATTTTTGATATTTGATTAAACCGATGTCAAATAAAAAATACCCGTGGTTGTGTAATGCACTAGCTAAGGCTCTTGGTTTCCAGACAGTGGGTTCTACATTCCAACCTCACCCCCATATAATTCAGTCTGAACAACTGGGTGGTAACCGTTATCAACCCTCACACTACGTCAACTCCTAGCTTAGTGATAGGGAGTGAAGTGATAGAACATGTTGACCACTTCACCTATTTGAGAAGTTGTATCAGCACCAACGGACTGATTGGCGACGAAATCTCAACACGGATCCAAAAAGCTCGAGCTGCTTTCGCTAACTTACACCAGCTCTGGCATAGGCGTGACATCCGGCTATCAACCAAGGCACGTGTGTACTGCTCAGCAGTTCGCTCCGTCCTTCTCTATGGCTCTGAAACATGACCAATACGAGTTGAAGACATGAAAAGGTTCACTGTTTTTGATCATAGATGTCTACGATCTCTTTCTCACGTTAGGTGGTATAATAAGGTAAGTAATGTTGACGTTAGGCGTAGAGTGTTGGGCAAAGACGGAAAATCAATCGAAGAGGCTATAAAGTTACATAGATTGAGATGGCTAGGTCACGTGCTGCGCATGCCTAAACATCGCCTCCCCCACCCCGACGGGCATTACTAGCTGATATAGGTAGGTGCAGGTTGGAAAAGAGTAAGTGGTGGCCAAACTAAAACATGGCCTCATCAATCCATGAAATCCCTGACAGTTAAACTGAGTCAGGTAGGGAGATGCAGACTTCCGGGTTGGGGCCCACCCTCGGGACTCTAAGAATCAATGAAGGCTGGAGACAATAGGTGATATGGTTCAAAATCGTTGTCAATGGCTTACGCAGATGTATTCAGTCTCTGTAATCTTTCATATTCCTTTCTACCATTACTCATTCTGTTTCACTCTTATACTTGTGTGCTATTTGGAACGTGGCGACTCGAACTGCTGGACTTCGGTACCAAGTGCTATGTTGAATCCAGACAGACAGAGACCCCCATACGACAAGTGAAGTAGTAAATGTGAGACTTTGTACTCTGTTAAGTTGAGTCACACACTTACTGTGTGAGTGGGGGCCGGGCGGGGGAGGGGTAAAACTGCCCAACTGCCAAGATTGAAACAGATAGAGATGGATTTGAACCAGGAGTCTATCACCCACCACACAGCCCAATGCACAAGTTAATGAAGTTTCCAAACATGAAAAAAATTCCCCATGAGTAAAACATCATAAAGAAATACACAAGATACAAGGATAACCAACCTTTAAATAATCAGCAAGAATTTCCTGCACAATATACGATTCTTTTTCATTTTTTCCACCTGGAGATTCAGAATCACTATCTGCCCAATCATATTCATAAATATCCTCCAAGTGAACATTATCAGCAAGTCCTGAGAATGAAGCAGAACGTGAAGCATTCTCTGACTTTAATCTACTCTCACGTCTTGAAGGCAGAGCAGAAAGTGAATTGCCTGATTGATTAGTCTAAAAAAAGGAATTTCATTAAATAATTAAAAAAAAACCGCCAAACACAACAGTACTCGAGATTTCTGTGTATCAGAATCATTATCATCATTTTTCAATGGTGTATCCGGCATACCATCAACACTCATGTCCAAGTCGAACATGACAGTTTCATCGTCAATTTGATCCTTGAATGGAGCATGATTGTTTTCTGTACAGATTGGCGAATCCATTGAAAAAGAAAAACTGTTATAAATCAGCTTGGTAGAAAAGGTATGATTTGTTTGTTTGGAAGATTGATGATCTATCTAATCAGTCTGTGCGAGTGCCTGTGTTATCATAGATGAAATTTAAAAAAAAAAGAGAAAAACACCAAAGACAATGATGAGTTAACCAACTTTAGCATGATTATCGTCAATAACTACTACTATATAAACACCTTGAGAAAAGTGTAAAGATGTACTCTTAAAGTGAGATTTCAAAGATCTCTAATATATATTCAACACTGAGTAACCTCAAAAAGTTGGTGTGCTAGTCGACATTCAGGAGATCAGCTTTTGATATAAAAAAAAAATAACAGCAGGAAAAATAACAAAATCTATGACGACAGGAATATTTCCAGATTAATCATATTAGACATAAAGAACACAATAAATAGATGGTAACTTATTCTTCATGAGGCGGAATTAACTCCCTTTTTTCCAACTAATCGCACTGTCTGTCTGTCTCTGTCTGTTTTCGACATAGAACTTTGCACCGATGTGCGGCAGTTCAAGTCGCCACACTCCATGTAGCACACAAAGGAAGAGAAGAAAGTAGAAGAAATGCATAATAATGACAGTAAACAGAGGTGTGAGACAAAGGAGTAGTAATAACGAAGAACAAAACAGTTTCATCGGAAATCATAAGTCACAAGGAGTGGATGCATCTGCGCCACTGAGAACGATTTTGAGCCATGTCACCAATTGTTTCCAACCACTGGTTTTTACCATCCCGAGGACCCCAACCAGTCAGGAAGTCTACACCTTCCTACGTGGCTTAGACTAACTGTTGTAGATTTCATTGATTGGTGAAGCCATGTTTTGGTCTGACCACTACTAACTCTTTTCCAACCTGACCCTATATCAGCTAACATTGCCCATCAAGGAAGGCGATGACTAGGCATACGTAACACATGTCCTAACCATCTCAGTCGATGTAATTTCACAGTCTCGTCGACTGATTTCCCCTCCTTACCTAGAGCTCGACGCCTAACCTCAATATTGCTCACCTTATTATACCACTTCATACGGGAAATAGAACGCAGACACCTATGACCAAGACGGCTAGTCTTTTCATGTCTTCCGCTCTCAATGGCCAGGTCTCACAGCCATAAAAGAGGACAGAGAGGACTGTTGAGCAGTACACACGCCCTTTAGTCGATAGTCAGATGTCGCGTCTACGCCAGAGACGGCGTAAACTGACATATGCGAACCTAGCCCTCTGTATTCGTGCTGATATTTCGTCTGAGATCAACCCGTTGGGGCTGATGGTACTTCCCAAGTAAGTGAAGCGGTCAACGTGCTCTACCACTACAGGCACAAACACGAGAAAACCATGCAGGTTTTAGGCCAGGAAGAGGGTGTATTGATCATATCTTCACCCTCCGACAGATTCTAGAACATAGGCATTTCTACCGGCGTCCAACAATCATTATACTTCTTGACCTAAAGGCGTCATTCGATTCTGTCGACCGAGAGGTACTTTGGCGATGCTTGGCTGTAAAGGGAATCCCGAGAAAATACATAGCACTGATTAGGGCACTCTACTCGTACTCACGCAGCCAGGTGAGGCCTTACGGCGAGTTTTCATCTGAAGTGGTGACGACTAGTGGCGTCTGTCAAGGATGCCCCTTATCCCCATTTCTATTCAACTAATCGCACTGTTAGTATACAGAAAATAAGGAAACTTGTAAAAATGCTATGTTGCAAGACAAGCGACAATCTTCAATGTTGTTATACAAGGAACAAATAAGGCCTATTCGTAGCTCTGTTATAACTCACCTTGTAGATGCTGAACATAAAGTTGATGTCAACAGGGCATCTAAAGCTACCTATCATATTCCAACTAACCTTAGTTTCATTTCAAGAGTCAATCTTCTACATATAGCTGAATCCATCGAAATACACCTGGAGAAGCTTAACCTATGTATTCAGTGGCAATTTGTGCAACTATTTTCTTTCTTTTGGCCATCATTACCTGAGTGTAAGAATCTGATAATTTCTCTTTTTCTCTAAACCTTTCGCTATGTATTATTTACTTTAGGTATCTTTAATTGTCGCATAAAATGGACTCACACAAAAAACTTGGAGGATCTGGACTTCGCCGATGATATATGTCTGATTTCCCACAAACTCGAAGATATGCAAGCGAAAAGCAGCAAGTTGGCAGAAGAAGCATCAAAGATAGGACTTCAGGTGAACATAGAGAAAACAGAGATAATGAAGATTCCAGGACAAGAACAACAACAACAGACAACGATCAGCATAAATGGGAGGAACCTGAAAGAAACAACCTCTTTTACCTACCCACCTTGGAAGCATCGTCTCAACTACGGGTGGACAGAACTGATGATGATATCAAAATCAGGATCGGGAAAGCATGGCAAGCTTCCGTTACTCTCAAGTCTGTGTGGAGGTCAACAGCACTCAGCATGAAGAAGGGGGTCCGGATTTTCAACTCCAATGTGAAGTCAGTCAGTGCTACTACACGGATCAGAGACTTGCACTGCGCGTCATAAAGAGCATCCCAAACAAACTACAGACCCTCATTAACAGTTGTCTTTGCTCAATACTCAAGACCAGATGGCCAGAAAAGATCAGCAACAGAGACCTCTGGGAGCGAACCAACCAAAAACCGATTGTGCAACAAATAGGCAGGAAGAAATGGAGAAGGATTGGCCATACTCTCAGGAAACAATCCACCGAATGACATCACTAGACAAGCCATTGTTTGAGTGGAACCCGAAAGGGAAGCGGCGAGTTGGTCGTCAGTGCAAGGGTGACTTAGAGGAGGTCATGTAAGTAGGAGATGAAAACGTGTGGGCAGACTTGGAGCCAGGTGAAGACTCTAGCAGAGAACCGAACGCAATGGAGACGCACGGCTGAAGCCCTATGTTCCTCTAGGAATTAAAGGAAGCAATAATAATAATATTTGTCGCATAAATTCTCATTATAATCGTATCTGATATACAATTTAGTATCGCATTTTTATGCATATTATCGCAATTACATGCTTTTGAACCGTAATTCTTTATTTGTCTTAAGAACTCGATATTATTTATAAGACATCAATGTTGTCAATAACGATTAATCTTCAAATACACCTGTAGGACCTAATGAGGAAGTTATCGAAAGCAGTATTCTTTGTTTTCTAAATGTCTAGATGGAGATTTTTACTTCAAATTACTTTATACGTACACTGCTTATCATATAATTCTCATTGAAATACTGTTAGTGCTATGTCTCCAAATTAATACCTGTCCTAATCTAACCAAATACAGCAGCCCACTCTATGGTACGTGACTGACTAAGTGGTTTCAGCAAAAAACTTTGCTCAGAAGTGCAGCGGAACGAGTTGCCACACTCCATGAAGGATACAAAGGAAGAAAAAAGAGATTCCGAAGGACGATAATAAGCATATATGTGATGGATAAACAATAGGAACATAGGAACACGGTAAGGTTTAATGAATATGACAGATCAAAGAGAGTGAATGCATCTACGCCAGGCATTGAGAGCGATTTTGAGCCATACCATCAATTGTCTTCTTGATTGTTTTTATTCCTTTACGTTCCCAGTAGAACATAGGGCTACTTCAAGCTAGAGCTTTGAATTTTCTGTGGCAGTGGTGTTTATTTTTATGGGATGGGTTTGCTAGCCTCATGTCCAACCTCCCCTCTTTATCAGTCTTATTACTGGCTTGGCGAGATAAAGAAGTGTGTCGGTGACTGGGAATCGAATCCCGAACCACCTGCGTGGTTGGCGAGCATCCTACCGCTGTGCCACCGACGTGCAGTTGTCTTCAGTCATTAGTTTTTACCATCCCGAGGACCCCAACCAGACAGCAGTCTACACCTTCCTATGTTATTATTATTATATTATTGTTTCCTTTAGTTCCTAGAGGAACATAGGGCTTCAGTCGTATGTCTCCACTCCGTTCGGTTCTCTGACAACATTTTCACCTGGCTCCATGTCAGCCCACATGCTTTCATCTCCTCTTCATATGACCTCTTTCATGTCAACCTCACAATGACGACCAACTCGCCGCTTCGCATTCGTGTTCCACTCGAGAGATGGCCTGACGTATGATGTCACTCACTTGATGGTTTTTTCAGAGTATGGTCAATCCACCTCCATTTTTTTCCTGCAGATTTGTTGCACAATCGGTTACTGGTTGGTTTGCTCCCAGAGATCCCTGTTGCTGATCTTCTCTGGCCATCTGATCTTGAATATTGAACGAAGGCAGCTGTTGATGAAGGTCTGTAGTATGTTCGAAGTGCCCTTCATGTCGCGCCAAGTCTCCGACCCAACACCTTCGTATGTGGTTTAAACTAACTGTCAAAGATTTCATGGACTGATTCCAAGGTTTGGTTTAACCACCACTAGCTAACTCTTTCCCAGCCTGATCCATCCTCTGTCACCAAACATTGCCCGTCGAGGAAGGCAATGCCTAGGCATGCGTAACACATCTCTTAACCATATCAATCGATGTAGCCTCACAACTTCATGGACTGACCTTACCGAACACTCGACGCCTAATCTCAATGTTACTCACCCTATCGTGTCATCTAACATGGGAGATAGGATGCAAACACCTATGACCAAAAACAGACAGCCTTTTTGTATCTCCCCCTTTCACTGGCCATGTCCCATAGCCATAAAGGAGGACAGCGAACTGGAGTGGAGAGCGGAGGATATGAAAAGACTAGCTGTCTTCGATCATAGATGTCTGCGTTCTATCTCCCACGTGAAGTGGTATAATAAGGTGAGCAATATTGAGGTTAGGCGTCGAGTTCTAGATAAGGAGGGGAAATCAATCGACGAGGCTGTGAAGTCACACCGATTGAGATGGTTAGGACATGTATTACGTATGCCTAGTCATCGCCTTCCTCGACGGGCGATGTTAGGTGACAGGATGGATCAGGCTAGAGAAGAGCTAGCGGCGATCAAACCAAAACATGGCACCAGTCAAT